GGAGAAATAGGCAAAGCCAGCATCATAGTTAAATTTTTTTTTGAGGAAAATTAGCCCTGAACTAACATCTGCCTCCGTTCCTCCTCTTTTTGCTGAGGAAGATTGGCCCTGAGCTAACATCCATGCCCGTCTTCCTCTACTTCATATGTAGGATGCCTGCTAAGCATGACTTGACAAGTGGTGTGCAGGTCCGGACCAAGGATCCAAACCGGCAGACCCCAAGCCGCCGAAGCGGAGTGAGCGAACTTAGCCGCTATGCCACTGTGCCAGCCCCCGTAGTTAAATTTTAATGATGACTCTCAGAAATTTATAAGAAAGATAAAAATCAGTAAGACTATCTAACAAATCTGTGAGATGCAGATAAACTAGCAGAGGAAAATTTATAGCCTTAAATGCTTATATTAGAAAAGAAAGCCTGAAAATAAATAACTTAAGCATTCATCTCACTAAGTTAGAAAAAGAATAGCAAAATAAATCCCAGGAAACTAGAAGGAAGTAAATAATGAAGAGCAAGAATTAATGAAAATAAACACACAATAGGTATAATAGAGAGAAGCAACAAAGCCAAAGTTTGATTCTTTGGAAAGAGTAATAAAATTGACAAATCTCTATCAAGAATTAAAAGAGAAAAAAGGCACAAATGAACAATATTAGTAATTTTAAAAGTTAAATAATACCCAGGTGCTACAGACATTAAAAAGATCAAAGAATATTTTGTATAACTTTATGCTGGTAAACTTGAAATCTTACATTAAATGCAGAAATCCCTGAAAACCTGGCTCTCAGGGCCGGCCCCATGGTGTAGTGGTTAAGTTTGGTGCACTCTGCTTTGGTGGCCCAGATTCGTGGGTTTGGATCCCAGACGCAGATATACACCATTCACCAGTCATGCTGTGGTGGCAACCCACATACAACATAGAGGAAGAGTGGCACAGATGTTAGCTCAGGGACAATCTTCCTCAAGCAAAAAGAAGAAAATTGGCAACAGGTATTAGCTCAGGGACAATCTTCCTCAGGGGAAAAAAAAACAAAACTGGCCCTGTAAACTGACTCAAGAAGAAATATTTAATGTATTTCTGAAATATCCTGTAACCATTAAATAAATTGAGTCAGTTTTACTGGTGAACTCTTTAAAACAAGGAAATAAACAAACACATGCAAAGGATAGAAAAATAGGGAATACCCACCCATTCTTTTTTTAGACTAGCATTACTTTGATACTCAAACCTACAAAGACAAGTATACTAGTCTGCTAGGGCTGCCATATGAGAATACCACAGACTGGGTGGCTTAAACAACAGAAGTTTATCTTTTTATAGTTCTGGAGGCTGGAAGTCCAAGATCAAGGTGCTAGCAGGGTTGGTTTCTGGTGAGGCCTCTCTTCCTGGCTTGTAGTTGACTGCCTTCTTGCTTTGCCTCATATGGCCTCCTCTCTGTGCATGCAAAGAGAGAGAGAAGAGAGATCTGTGTCTCTCTCTCTTCTTAAAGGATGCCACTCCTTTCGGATTAGAGCTCCACCCTTCTGACCTCATTTAACCTTAATTATCTCCCTAAAAGCCCTTTCTCTAAATATAGTCACATTGGAGGCTGGGGCTTCAATTTACAGATTTTGGAGGGATACAATTTAATCTATAATAGACCGTATGTATATTAGTATTCTCCAGAGAAAGAGAACCAATAGGATGTGGAGAGAGAGTTTTTTGTTTTTGTTTTTGAGGAAGATTCGCTCTGAGCTAACATCCGTTGCGAATCTTCCTCTTTTTTTGCTTGAGAAAGATTAGCCCTGAGCTAACATCTGTGCCAATCTTCCTCTGTTTTGTATGAGGGTTCCCACCATAGCATGGCTTGATGAGTGGTGTATGTCCATGCCAGGGATCTTAACATGTGAACCCAGGCCACCGAAGTGTAGTGTGCCAGACTTAACCACTATGCCACAGGGCCGGCCCTAAGAGAGATTTATTTTAAGGAATAGGCCCATGCAAGTATGGAGGTTGGCAAGTCCAAAATAATACAGGATGGGCTGGCAAACTGGAGACTCAGAGAAGAGTCAGTGTTGCAGTTCTCATCTGAAGGCTGTCTGCTGACAGAAATTCTTCTTGCTCAAGGGAGGTAAGTCTTTGTTCTATTAAGGCTTTAGACCCATTGGATGAGGCCCACCCACATCATGAAAGGCAATCTGCTTTACTCAAAGTGCACAGATTTAAAGATTAATCTCAGCCAAAAAACACCCTTATAGTAACATCTGGAATGTTTGACCAGATATTGGGGCACTGTGGCCCAGCCGACTTGACTTGTAAAATTAACCATCACAATGTGAACAAGAAAATTATGGGCCAATTTTATTCGTTTAACCTAGATGTAGAAGATTAATGATAAGTCAACCAGATCTAGCAATGTGTTAAAAAAAATCATGATCTTGGGTTTATTCCAGGAATGCAATGTTGCTGTAAAATTAAAATATTAACTAATATATTTCATCTAGTTTATATTTTAAAGAGAAAAGTCTTTAGCCTTCTTAATAAAAACTCTTACCAACTAGGGAAAAAAAGGGGTATCTGCAAAAAATGTAGCAAGCAGCATATGTGGATACTTGATATATGACAGAAGTGGTATTGCAGAGCAGTGGGGAAATAATGGACTTTTCAGTAAATGGTGTTGGCATTATTGTTTATCCACATGGAAGGAAGTAAAGTTGGATCTTTGCCCCAAAGCATACCTTAAAATCAGTACAGTTAGATTTAAAGACCTAAATGTGAAATGCAAAATGAAAACTCTCAGAATGTTTAAAGAATGCCTTTGTGCCCTTGGAGGTAGGGACAGATTTCTGAAACAAAATTCAAGAAGTACAAATCATAAAACAAATGCTTGATAAATTTGACTGTATTAATATTGAAGACTTCTAGTTATCAAAAGACACACTTTTAAAAAAGCTACAAAGTACAAGATGTTTGCGACATGTGAAAGTAGACGTGTGTATATATATGTCTTGACTATATCAACAAATCCTACAAATCATTAAGAAAAAGGTAAACCTGTAGAGAAATGGGAAAAATAATTAAATTTATAGGAGATGAAGATGAAAGTTCCATAAGCTAAACATATGAAAATATGCTCAATCTTATTAGGGAAATGCAAATTCAACCCATAATGTGATACCATTATCTCACTTGTGAGGTTGGCAAAAACTTTTTTCAAAAGGCCCAAACAATATCAAATGTGAAACAGTTTTGAACACTTTTGAATCACTTTGCAAGTACCTTGTAAAGTTAAACAAATGCATGGTCTACAACCCAGCAGTTTCACTGCTGGGTATATACCTTATAGAAACTCTCATATATGTATACCAGGAGTTTATGGTAGAACTGTTCATAATAGCAAAAAACCGGAAATTACCCAAGTTCCCATCAACAGTAAAATGGACAAATAAGATATGCTCATATTAAAGAATAATCTATAAGAGCAGAAATGAACTAGTTACATACATCAACCTCAATGAATCTTAGAAACATAATTTTAAATGAAAGAAGCAAGTCACATAAGAAAACATAACAGTATGATTCCATTCATATAAAGTTTAAAACTAGACAAAACTAATGTGTTTGCTTAGGGTCATACATATAAGTGGTAAAAGTATAAAGAAAAGGAAGAGACTGATAAGCACAAAATACAGAATAGTGGTTACCTCTGGTTGGGGGAGAGAGGGAAGCAATTAGAGAATGAACAGAATGGGGCTTCTGGGATATGTTAATGGTCTATTTCTAATGTGCTACGTGCTTAAGGGTCTATTACTGATTTTTAAACTATATGTAATTGTTTTTATCCACTCTTTTTATATGTATGCTTTATTTAAAAATAAACAACTTTTTGCTAATTACAGAGTTAAACATTTGGAAAATGAATATAAATTTAATCAATGAGAAAAATAGTGTCCTTAACATTCTTATAAAAATAACATCCTTGAATAATTTCCAGATAGGGTTAAAATATGTTTGAAACTGTGTATTTTCCATTTTTTAATGACAACACAAGCAGAGGCATTTTTACATGATGATATGGGCACAGGCATGTGTCTTAATGCCAAAAGCAGAATTAATTTGAAAAATAACAACTGGCTGTTGCTTATAGAATCTAGACATAAGATTTCAGCTTTTATATACTGACCAAATGAAATATATTTGTCTATCAGAAATGTGGTGCTTTCAAGAATGAAGCCAAGTCACAGTTTACTATAATAGTTTTTCGGCAGTAGAGGTTAAAATTGCTTTAAGCTGACAGCCTTTTGAAATTTAGTAACTAATTAGTGCCATCTCTGAATGAGGTCCAAAATGATACCCCACTAATGCTGAAATCTAGGCTAAAATCAATAGTGTTTCATGAGGAGGAACCAGTGTATTTTTAGAAAACATGTTATATTTTGCTATGATAAAAGTGGTTGAATTAATTTTCATTGATGTAATACTCTAGGCACTGACATACTGAAAAAAATTAAAGTAAGTGTACATTCCAAGATCTTATTTAATATTAAAAGTAGTTTTTAAAAAGCTGTCATGATCACCTGAATACAATTATAACCTATATTAATTGACCAGATGACCAAAAAGATTGATGAACTTCAACCTTAAAAAGGTACAAAATGAAATTTTTAAATGCCATTAATAGAATAGTTGACTAAAGCCACCCCATGTCATAAAAGGGTCCCAACTAATAATGTAAAACTAACCTCTTTAAAAAGAGCACAAAAACATTACACTAAAATACAATAGCTCTGCTGTCTTAAAGGAAAGAGACTAAGTGGTATTATCAACACCTGAAGTCCCCATAGATGGATCTACCTGCCCTAGTGAATTTGTTAAATAATGGGGCACAGTTTCAGGCCAGTCCTGACAATTTCAGATAGTTGTGGAGAAGAAAATGAACTTCTAAATGTTCAAGTTTCAATTTTCTTTCTTCTTTCCCACTTACCCATTTTCCATTTGTGTTTCTTTCCTCCCTCCTGTCAGGAACGGCCACCTTCAGAGAGCCAATGTAGTCCAGTATGATATCAACCTGGTAGAGACAAACAGTACCAGCGCCCACCACAGTAAGTAAATTCAAAATGAAATGCTTATTTTAAAGCCCTCGATGAGACTGTTGGTGTTACATGTAAGGATTTGGATCTATCCAAAAAAGGTTGACCCTAAGAATTTTTCTATGGGTTTTGAACTAACTACCCCTTTTCACCTGAGGATGAATTTCTCATTAGCAATTTGACACGTCATTTTTTCCCCACAAAGAAAACCATGTTATCTCACTATGTGAAATTATGTTATTAGCAATAATGTGTTACACAGATGTAAGGGACAGGTTTCTCCAGAGGTAATTTGAAGTGGGCTGGTATATAGAGAAGGGAAGAATTTTTATCTGTAAGCGTAGGCAAATCTTTGGGAAACTTGTAGACCAGTTAATGTGTTAAGAGTGTCTTGAGCAGCCAGCCCCATGGCTGAGTGGTTAAGTTCACATGCTCCGCTTTGGCAGTCCAGGGTTTTGCCAGTTCGGATCCTGGGTGTGGACCTAGAACTGCTCATCAAACCATGCTGAGGTGGCATCCCACATAGCACAACCAGAAGGACCTACAAGTAGAATATACAACGATGTACTTGGGGGCATTGTGGAGAAGAAGGGGAAAAAAAAAGATTGGCAACAGATGTTAGCTCAAGTGCCAATCTTTAAAAAAAAAGAAAAGAAAGAATGAATGTCTTGAGACTTCTGCTTCTGGCCAAGATGGAGTAACAGGGACTGGATTTACCTCCTACATGAAACAATAAAAAAATAGATATAATACATGAAGCAATGGTTTTCAAGACATTGGACATTGAGAAACAAAGGATCATGATCCCGGAGAGATGGGAAACAGATGAGGTGTGCCAATGATTGTCTCAGATTATTGTCTTGAGAGAAGTTCCAGGCTTTCACATAGGGTGGGGGAACCCAGTCTGACCTTGGCAGATTCCCTGAGTTGAGAAGATGAAGCTGAAAATTCACTAAACAAAGTATTGGGAAAGAGAGAGCTGCATGCAGAGAGAATCCAAGAGAGCTTCAGTTAGAGTATTCAGCTGAGTAATAATCAACACATATATAGTAGGAAAATACTTGAGATTAGGAAAATAATCAACTGAAAGGAAGTACCCAGTACTCACACAGGGCCAGGAAAAGTGCCTGTTCCCAAGAATAAGACTAAAACCCCTAATTATTCATGGGCCATTGGTAGAGTACACAGAAGAGTGTGTCTCCAGTAGTGGGGAATAATTAGCACTACATTGAGCACTGCTCTAGTCTTGCCTAACAAACCTTAAAAGCAAAAACTGAAAGAGTCAAATTGTTTCCAAATAACTGCATCCCAGATCAAAGCTGAATAACACACACAAAAAAAGAAAAAAATCCAGTACACAACAGGTAAAATTCATGTCTCACATCCAATCAAAAATTACCAACTTTGTGGTTTAACATACGCAAATCTATCAATATGATATACTACGTTAACAAAGTGAAAGACAAAAACTAAATGATCATCTCAGTAGATACAGTAAAAGCATTTGACAAAGTTCAACATCCGTTCATGATAAAACTCTTAAATAAGTATAAAAGGAAATTTCCTCAATACAATAAAGGCCATTTATGAAAATCCCATAGTTAACATCATTATCAGTGTAGAAAACTGAAAGCTTTTTCTCTAAGATCCAGTACAAAGCAAGGATGTTCACTCTCACCGGTTCTATTCAACATAGTACTGGAAGTAACAGCAAAAGCAATCGGACAAAAAACAGGAAAGCCATCCAAATTGAAAAAGAAGTTAAATTATCTCTGTTTGCAGATGACATGATCCTACATGTAGAAAACCCTGAACCCTTCATTAAAAACTGTTAGAGGATGTCAGCAGCATAGCAGAGTGAGGTCTCTCAGAAATCTCTCCCCTCCAATATACGACAACAAAAAAGTCCATAATCCAACAGAGGACATCCAAACACAACACAAAAAACATTGGAGGGACCCACGCAGCCATACAACAGAGGGTGGAGAGACTGGGCCCCCCTTGGAAGAGCTGGAATGGGGTAAGAGAAATCTTCGCTCCCTCCCCTTAAAGACTGCAATCCAGGACCGCAGGAGGCCTCCAAGAGGGAAGGAATGGGGGAGGGGACATTCGTTCACAGTAACATCAAGGACTCCCGAGGGCCCTTGCAGCCTAGAGGGAAGCCCCCTACCAGGGTGACAGCTTTCACAAGGGGTGACCTTATCAAGCCAACACCCTAGGAGAGCAGAGGGAGAAAACCCCAAGTGCATTCAAGAAAAAGTGCCCCTCCCCCTACCCGCTCAGCACAGCTCCACCCCCTGGGCATTCGGCTGAAAGCAAGGGGCTCAGAATACACGACTCTTAACCCCTGCTCAGTAGCCAAAGGCAGTAACTGCAACCAAATAATGGCAGGGTGCAAAAGAACAGAACTCCTTCTAGCAATATCAAACACTATATTAGATCTCCAGTCCAGACAGAAAATGACAAGTACCCAGAAATCAGTCCTGAGGACACAGAAATATGTAATCTAAATGACAAAGACTTCAAAACACCTATCATCAAAAAACTCAATGAGGTAAAAGATAATGTAGAGACAGAATCCAATGAGTTCAGGAGCTACTTCACAAAAGAGATTGAAACTATAAAGAAGAATCAATCGGAAATATTAGAGATGAAAGACACACTGGAAGAAATAAAATATGGAGTCCATGAACACTCAAGCAGACACCGTAGAGGGACATATCAGCGTAAGTGAAGATAGACATGTTGAAATGCTCCAGATAGAGGAGAGAGAACTAAGACTAAAAATAAATGAAGACAGTCCCCAAGACATATCTGACTCAATGAGGAAATGCAACATAAGAATTATAGGTATTCAAGAGGGAGAAGAAAAGGAGAATGGAGTAGAGAGCTTGGTCAAAGAAATAATAGCAGGGAATTTCCCAAATCTAGAGAAGGAAATCTGTGTGGAAGAGGCTGCAAGATCTCCTAAATACGTCAATATAAAAGGACCTACTGCAAGGCATATAGTAGTGAAACTGGCAAAACAGAATGACAAAGAAAGAATACTAAGGGCAGCAAGGCAGAAGAAAATAACCTACAAAGGAACCCCCATCAGGCTTTCAGCAGATTTCTCTGCAGAAACCTTACAGGCTAGGAGAGACTAGAAGGACATATTCAAATCATTGAAGGACAAAAACTTTCAGCCAAGGGGCCAGCACCGTGGCTAAGTGGTTAAGTTCGCGTACTCCACTTCCGCAGCCCAGGGTTTCACTGGTTCGGATCCTGGGAGTGGACGTGGCACTACTCATCAGGCCACGCTGAGGTGGCATCCCACATCCCACAACTAGAAGAACCCACAACTAAAAATATATGACTATGTACTGGGGGGATTTGGGGAGAAAAAGAAAAAAAAGAAGATTGGCAACAGTTGTTAGCTCAAGTGCCAATCTTTAAAAAATAAAAAGACTTGCAGCCAGGAATATTCTATCCAGCAAAAATATCCCTCAGATATGATGGAGAAATAGAAACTTTCCCAGGGAAACATAAGCTAAGGGAGCTCTAGCCACGACACACCCCCTACAAGAAATCCTCAAGAAGGGAGAAAGTGGTTACAAAGCATGGGGTGTAAGGAGTTAAATAAGTAGACAAAATCAGAGCAGGATAGCAAATACTCAAGTATAACATTAGAGACAAAGGGAAGGAAAACACCAAAAACAAAGATAATCTTGTCATTTTAACCATAAACTCATAAAACAAGATGGAATAAGATGAGAGAAAAAAAAACTTAGGTGGGAAGAGGAAAGGGAGTGAATTGGTTCAGTCAAGATGGCAGTGTAAGCAGACTCTGAACTCATCTCCTCTCACGAACACAACCAGGTTGCAACTTTTTGGAAAAATTACCCCAGATTGAAAACTGAAAACTGTATAACAAGAACCCCCACAACAAGAGGTAGTCCTGACTAAGGCAGAAGAGGCAGAAATTCCTGCTGGAGAGGAAAAAAACCACCTTTGGGAGCAGCGGAGCTTCTCAGCTGGCCAAGTGGGAGACACCCTAAGGTGCACAGCCCTCCCTGGAGGAGTGAGTTCCGGGGCGGGGGACAATACTGCTATAAGCAACTTTCAGACTCAGCCCAACTAAGAAGTGGGTCTTACTGTCTGGCTTTGCTGGCTATTAACTGCAGCAACGATACCCCCAGAAAAGCTATCAGCCAAAAGCTGAAAAGACCTGGGTCTTAAAGGGCCCATGCACAAACTCACTCACTGCAGCAACCTAAGATCACCAGAGAGAAGGCTGACAGTCCTTTGATGAAACAAGACTCACCTGGTGGGCTCTGGGGCCATCTTGGTGAGAGGAGGGACCTCTCTGGAGACTGAGACATTGGTGGAGGACATTGTTCTAAACTGGTCCAGGTCTGCTGACACAGACCCTGGTGGGCACCATTGAGGTTCATTGCTTGGCCCGTTAGCCCAGGGCTCTGCCACGCACACTAGAGCACAGATTGAATCCACTTCAGCCAGGGCAGGCAACCCGCCCTAGGGACTGGCCCCACCTAACAGCAAGCCCTCAGGCTACTTTTCAGCCTGCATTGTATGGGTGCCTTGATCCTCTACTGGCAGGCCAGGGTGTCTGCCTCTGTGGGGCAGGGCCTGTGTGAGGACCAGGTGAACTGTGGGGGGCATTGGTGGAGAGGTGGGGGCCTCTGAAGTGCAGCGTCAGGATACGCTCCAGGGGGTTGAGAAGATTGCGTGAACCAGGACTGTGTTGACAGTGTGTGTGGTCTTATGGGGGGGGGGGGGGGAAGAAGCTTATCAGTGGCAGAAGACCTGTGCTTCACAAATATCCATAAAAAGGATCAGCCCCACTTTCCAAAGCCTGAAACAATTGAGTGCTGCTGTGCCTAGGGCCAGCCCCACTCAGCTGCACTCCTAAGAGAACTGACAACAGTGTTGTAGGCCTGAGACCTATGCAACTGTAAACCCCTAAGCCTAGCAACCAGCTACACAGGGTGCCAACCCAATTAAGAGGAAAA